GTCTTATCCCCTTACTTTCTTTTTGTTAATTTAAGGTCTAACTGGACCTCCGTCACGCTCTTTGCCACAGACCAAGGCTAGCCACTTTTGCATTCCATGTTATCCTTAAGCTGCATTCCTGGGCGTCGGAACAGGAGACGCGATCATCGCTCTGACTCAATAACAGAACAAATGGAGAACGGGTTTATCTGCATTCCGATTTTTTCCTATTGTGAGAAGTTTCGACCCCTGTGCATAAGACCTTCACAAAGCTCTGCTGGAGTGCCGATAGGCAACTATAACATATCTCAAAGCCCTCCTGTTTTTGCGCTTTGGTGCCTGACTGTTTGCGGCTGGCTTGTATGTCAACAGAGTGTTCGGACGACGAGCCAGTTCAAGCACTTCGCGCCCGTAATTCACATCAATAGTAGTGAAAGTGCGATTCCCAGTTGGCATATCAAAGGAAAGAGAGGCGTTCACCGGGAGGGGTCAACCGGTAGCCTTGACAACGTGGACTACCGACACAAAGCCCTCATGCTCCTCATCGATCGGGAGTACTATAAAGTCAGCGAAGCCGCCAGTCTAAAGTCCTTAGGGGGAAAGGTTAACAGAATTCTAGCTCGACTAATGAAAGACAGCGTCATCACCGTCAAAGCCTGGTATATGGCAAAGCCCGCAGAAACTGCTATGGCGAGATTCTGCGGTCTCACAAAAGTAAACAAGCATATGTTCCCCTCCGTCCAATCGTCTCACTCCGAGGCACACCCACATACTAGCTTGCAAGCTGGCTATTTCAGAAGCTAAGATTCCTAATTGCAGGACCACAAACAACGGTGCATTCAGCAGAACAATCCCTTGACAAAATAAGGGCGGTCACGATCGAACCGAATGAGAGGATGGTGTCTTTTGACGTTGTCTCAATCTGCACGTCTATATCAAAGGCCCTTGCGGTCGAAACGCTCAGTCACCTGCTACGTCAAAATTACGACGGGGGCGATGGCCAGCCCACAGCTCAAGATCGCCTAGAACTCATGGTGCACTGCTTAAAGACAATCTTTACCTCCGAAGCGATCACATACGAGCCAATCAAGGGTACTCTAATGGGTTCACCAATCTCCGGGCTCATTGCCGAGGCGGTTCTATAAAAATTCAAGAGAGGACTATTCGAGGAGTACGAACCCACGTTTTGGGCACGCTACGTTGATGACACCTTTGTACTCATCGATCGGGATAAACTCAACTGCCATGCGGAAGTACTGAACTCAATCATTCCCGATCTACATTTCACGATGGAAGGCAAAGTAGGGGACAAACTTCCATTCTTGGATGTTTTCGTTCTCCGCCAACCAAACGGCAAACTAGCGACGTCGGTCCACAGAAAACCGACGAACACGCTGCAGATGCTCAGTTACAACAGCTGCCACCGCTACAACGCAAACGAAGCTGTGTCCGCACGCCATACCGACGGGTGGAAAGTCAATGCAGTAAGCCAGCCGCCAAACTGTACGAGATAAACCTCCTCCATGAACTCGCCAGAGCCAACGGCCATCCGTGGGTATTTATTGAACGGAGCCGAAGGTAACCAAAGAAACAGAAAGAAGATCATAATCAGTCAAACTCGTGGCGGAGCATTTCATACATTTAAGGGGTACCCGAAATCGTGGCAAAATCACTCGCGCCACTAGGAATAGACGTTTCCCACAGGCTTGACTCAACAATCAGCCGGCAAGTGGTGCTGCCAAAAGATCCGATCCCTAAGCAGGAGATGTCGGCCGTTGTCTACTGGCTTCAGTGCAGTTGCGGAAAGCGACAATACGTTGGGGAAACCGGCCGACGGCTGCAAACGCGAATGCACGAGCATAAGTTGGCTGTGAGGAGGTTGGACCCAAAGGGGGGGGGGGGTGGCAACCCATGCCGCGCAAATGGGACACATCTTCAACTTTGACGCCGTTGAGATTGTGGGCCGGGGCGGCGATCACACAGCAAGGCAAGTGCAAGAAGCCTGAATGTCCACCGACTGCTCTGTCAACCGCTTCGTCAACTTGCCTCCCCCTATCTGATTTTACGATCCTACTTAACGCGGGACAGTCAGGGCGCGGGACAATGGTGGGCGTCAGTGATCTCCGCGGCCGAAGGGGGGCGATTCAGGTCAAGGTGACATGCGGGTGGATGCAGCCACACGGGCGCCATTCGCGGGTCACGCATTGAACAATGTGCGCCATATAAGGGGACCTGTGCGCAGGACTTTCCAGTCCCTGAAGATGGGTAGACGAATCAACCACTCGAAACCTTGGACCTCCAATAAATCCCCCGGTAAAGGCTGATGAGTAGTCGGTGGGGTTGCGGTTTGTACCCGAGGTCAGAAAAAGGTAACCTAAGCAGCATGTCTAACACGAATGGTAGTAGGAGAGGTTATACGGGTGGGTTCATCAGGCGCACAGAAAAGGAAATGGAAACAGTAGGGAATGAAGTCACATCGAAAACATTTTAATAAGTTTAGAAGGTGGACGGTAAGTAAGCGCTAATATTCGAAAAAGCAACCGAAAACAGTAGCCAGGGAAATTTGGGCAAATGAACAAGACACCGCCAACAAAATAATCGAAGCTCAGGTTCTAAAGCAGCCAACTGTAATTGGTTGCAGGCATTAAGGGACGTACAAATAGCACAGATTGAAAACCATACCAGGAAACGCATTAACGGACAAGAATTTGCAAAATATGCAAAACGAAGAATAAGGGGGAACTCTGACAAAGCAAGCTAAATGACAGTATGAAAAAATAAAAAGATAAGCCAAGTCTAGTAAGTTAGAGGCATAACCTACAAATAGATACACTAGTATATGCATAGGAAACAATTCGTAGTGTATAACGTACATTACAATACGAAGACAAAAGCGAAATACTGAAGCATAGAAAGTCAAGTTGTCCATGTAGATGTAAACGCCAATATCTGTAAATAGGTGGTAGTTTCAATAACGGAAATAGCGGCAAACTATAAACTAATCTTTGTTTAGAAGCAGACCGCCGTCAAAGAAAGTGTAAGACGCAGACGTATAGGCGTCGCCTGAAAAGAAAATACATGGAGGAGGCCCTACGTCGGGCCGAGGTGACTGGACAAAAATTGAGGCGTTTTAATGTCGCCTATGGTCTGGAGTTAAGACTATAGGCCTAAAACAGGCACGGGAAACCTTCCTATCCCATATCATAGAGGTGTATCACGTGAAGCAGACGAACAATGGATAAGCGCGATAGAAATCATACGAAAAAGCCAATTTTCTCGTCTGTAAAAAGCTTCATTTGTATAAAGTAATTTCGAAGTACTCAGCACCTGATATACAGTAGATTGCGACAAAACTTTGCCATGATATCTAACACGTTCGAGGTGAGGAGCATAATGATAAGTCAGTATAGGGATTCCTGCAACTCCTGGTTCTCGGGGAGGTTGATTGCAAGGTCGATAACACAAGCCGTTGAAACAGGCAGATTAAGCCGAAGCCAAGGCCTAAGTAGTACACGAGGAAACATGATCGAACAAAGCCTACTTATATAAACGCAGTAGCACGTTTTGTATATTATTAGGTCCATCCCGGGTACAAAGCATACTCTTACCGAGTTTTCAAGCTAGCAGTCAGACTACCGAGAGAGATAAAAACTTTTTATATCCACCATCCTGTTACTTTTTTCCGTCGTGGTTTACGACACCTTTGTATGCTTGAATGATGGTTTTATATGATAAGGGACTCCGATTGTACCTCGTGAGTGTAACAAGCATTGTCCCATGGTGCATACAGATTTCTTTTCCATCGACCCGAATTCACCAGGTTTGTAGTTCGGCCCATAGTTGTGGTTTATTTTGACAATAGAATGTCGCGAAAGTAAAACATTCCGGAAGCCAAATAACTTCCGAAAGCGCTATTTATTAATCGTATATTACTCGACGGCAAACCCGTAATAGGAAATAACATCAGGGCAATTCGTATTGCGAGGGCGAAACTGACCCAGTCCTAAGAAATTGAACAAACAGACACATCCCATTTCCCATTTTCCACCCACATCAGTGACCTCATTATGAGACTAGACAAAATTTCCCATTTGCGAAGAAGAGATGAAATTCTGCATAGCCTCCGGTGGATTTCGCTGATGTAGATGATCGACATATTTTGGATGACTGATTTCGCAATTCAGCTTTCAACTTCCGACCAGGAATTAGCCAAAAATATGAGAAAACATGGAGGAAAAGCGCACGTCCAATATCAGTTAACTTTGTCTCCTTTCGAGTCTTAACCCCTTATAAATTCGTTCTTATTTAATGCCGTAATGAACGCCTTGGGCATTATTTCCGTGTATTTTATACAGCAATTAACTTTTGTCATGGGCAGTGAGTGCTGTTCGTTTCGTTGACACTCAATGTATAACTTTGATAACCTGACGGAATTCCACTTAGGGCATTTGTTGCGACTTTGCCTCGCTGTCTGGTGCGTACTTTGGCGTACGCATTAGCGGTAGTCATTTATCTGGTATTCTGCTGCTGTACGTGAAGGCTTAACTGCGCCTTGCCAAGCCCTGAAACCGACAGCCTCTATCCAAACCAGTCAGTCGTCTTTACGGCTGAAATAGACATGTCTATGCTCAAAAAATTTGGACGTCTGCCTCAACAGCACCTGGAGTACATCTTTTATTCGACTGTCAAGTCCATCCATCGTAATCATTTTCAGTGGTTCTCTGTCTTTTTTGGTTGGAATCCGGTCTAAGCAACAAAGGGAATAGGTCTATTCCTCGACGTAGCTGTAAAATCTGACCAGTATGGTATTTAGCGTTTAATCAATAAAAAAGTTATATTCCCCGATCGCAAGGGCACTAGGGATGCCTAATTGGGTAGGAATAAAGGCTGAAAAAGGAGATACTTTAAGACGTATTAGTAATACAATAATTTGAAGGAATATTTCCCCGGCATGCCTAGTTCCCCATTTTCATTCCTATGTTGCATTTTGAAGTTACCATTTTATCGATTAGTCTGCGCGTAGTACACGTTGACCTTGCTGTTTTACATCGATTTTCTCTGTCGAAATTCATACCTTTGTACCTTTCTCACTTGTTATTTCTGTTATGCAACGACCGGCAGCAGTTGAGAAGCGGTCGCGAAATTTTGTGGTACCATTAAATTCTGCTGTCCTTGCTTGCTTCAAATACAATAATTCGTGAAAAAAATCGGCATGCAATGTCTGATGAAATAAACCATTGCGAACGGCACTTCTGCATATGGTGAAATGTATCCTTCGTTCGGCCTTTTAATTTTGAAGCTCTTTGTGCCTACCGTTTTTGAGGATTCCAAGGATGTGGTTCCTAAGAACTTCACTGGAGTCCGTCACTTCTTTTTCGTTCTTCCGTTGGCTTTCATTTGTTTGGCCGATTGCAAGCGAAAGTTGAAAACGAAGTTGTCCCACGAGATTTCTCAGTTCTTTTACCTCTTTATCCTGAGAAAATGCAGATAAATTCTGACTGTTTAGGTTTTAGTGACTTTTCGGCTTTTTCCAATGCATTTCGAACGCTATTATGCTGCTCTCTGGCTTATGCGTTTGAAAAATGTTGGGCATAAATTTACTAATAATAAGAACATACAGAAATTTCTAAATTTATTGTGCACTTTGCCATATCAGCCAAACCCTTATCATATAAATTATTGAAAACCTATTAGATGCTGCAAATTATTTCAAAAGGGCATTGAAAGTCAAGGCATTCTTACCTTAATGGATGATACCTTCATTATTTGTTGCATTCGAGTGCTCATGCTGTGCAGACTCTGTTCAAATGCCTGCACCACCGAAGTCTAAATGAAAAGGGCAGTTTATAGAGTGTACTTAATACGAGTGCTCACCCAAATTTAGAACCACAAAAATAAAGCTTAATAATGGGTTTCGGTAAATGTTTGTGTTAAATTTAATTTTACTATTCCACCTGATTTTGATAAAAGACAAAAACTTGCTAAGCGGCCTGCAAGGGTTCAGTAAAAGAAGGGGTTGATGGTAGACAACCTTCGTCATATCAATCGGCTTCAGGTCATAAAAATGCAAGATCCACGCAATCCCAGTCTGAGTGTGAACTGGCAATTTACTGTCACTCAGTTGCTGCTGGCTTTGCTGATCGAAGGCGCTAGTATACAGGATAGCCCGTCAAGAATTTTGCATTCGGTATTAGAATCAAGATAAATAACCAAGTGGTATACTTTTTTTTAACTATAACAGTATGATAATTGAAGGAAATCTTAGGAAAATATCACATATGTTTACCAAATTGTTAACGGTAAATTTGTCCAATCGTTATAAAACTAGGAAAGGTTTTTCACTTATTACTACTACACGAAAACAAGAGCAGTGTCCACTGAACAGGCATTTGTGCTTTCCTAAGTTATACTTAGAGATAAGTAAGTGAATCAGGGTACCGTATACGGTAATTGACTGGGCGCAGTGTAGTATTAAAGTGTCATATTAATGGCTCAAACTGCGAGGTTAAGGCAGTCAGTAAAACGTTTGTTCTCGGACGTAGGAAAAACCCACCGGTAGTCGAGAATGAGTATTAAAAGTTAAAGACCGGATACCATCAGCAAATTAAATGATCCTTACTTAATAGGAATACGGATTAGAAGCTGTCTGTTGCAAGTAATCATTTTCATCTAGGAGGTTTGCCCGTATTTTTATCCAATAGTAAATCTGAAATGTTAAGAAGATCTAACTTGCTCTAAGTTCCTTGCCGCTACTTAGCTAGACGTCTGCAATTAAAGGCGCAGAGCATAGCGAACACAATCCGCAGGTCGCTGTCCGGTTCTCCTTGGTCACTCAAACCATCCTATTGTATGCTTGTTCTTTATTACTTCACAAAAAACTTAAAATACATAACATTTGTTCAACAAACCCGATTGTGACAAACGGCGGTCGCTTTGGTTTTCAAATTCGCGATAGCAAGTGCAAGGGTTAAGCATAGGTGCGGAGTCTCAGAACCTGTGGTATTTCTACCTTGCTGCCCAAAACGGCTTGTGTTGCTATGGTTTCAGACTATGATCATAGCGGATGGTAACGTATGCTAGTTAGGCCGTTCTGAGTTCGCCATTGCCTTAGCTACTAACTTTGACGCGTCTGGTAGGCTCTTCAGATTTCAGCCCTATTTCTCCACCAGGCATGTTCCCTCAGGCGGACTGTCGAGAGTTTGGAGATTGGATAAGACCAGATAAACTTGGATTCAGAGCAGGAAGGCCTGATCACAAATGAGCGAACACAGTCGTTACTTGTTCACTGAGCTGTCAGCTGTGACCCGGAAAATCAACAAGTAATGAAATAGACTAACATCATTATAGATTGATCGTCAGGCTGAAATATCTAGTTGTTAAGGTGAAATTTACATATCGAACGATTATGTGAGACAGGATGAGTGTGGACTCTAAGCTAAAGTCGTGCATATAAAGGTGCAGCCGCTGTGCTAGCAACTGCGCCGCATCACTAGATCACTTTGAATATATCTTGAATAAAAGAAGACAGGGTAGGACAGGTATAACGTCCGTCTGCCCTAAATTAGGCGGATTCGCGTACAAGCTATGGATGCGCAAACCTCTTGGGGCAGCAAAATACTTAATCGCTCTCAGTAGTTATATAATTAAACCTCTTAGATTTGTTGTCTATCATCCTGATTAGTAAGAGATTTTGGATGAA